GTGAATAGGAGCTCTTCCAGGGTCATTTTTCACAAGCATGTGTGTATCAATACTCAGTTAAGACTTGAGAGCCACTCTGCAGGTCTCCAGAGATCGCTCTGTGCAGCTCTCTCCTCTTTGGGTATGCCCCCATGGGCTCTAGCCACCTTGGTCTCTTGGGACTACCAGCTCTGTCTTCTCAGTTCCACAACCACTGGGCTCTGCCTGGGTGTCCCCTCCTCATGTCATGGCCAAGAAACTCCCTTCAGGTATCAATCTGGGGAAATCATAGGGCTCCCACATTAGTTTTCCATTTTTCCAGGATTGCTATTGTTCTTTGCCTTGATGCCCAGTGCCTTGGAAACCATTGTTACATATATTTTAACCATTATCAATTGTTTTAGGCAGGAAGGCAAATCCTGTCCCTGTTACTTATCTTAGCTAAAAAAAACAATCTTTCTTGATTTATCTTAATTTTTTAACATATTAATATCTTTTCTGATAACAAATATAAATATCTACCAGTCATCTTTTATAAAATTAACTAACATTCCCTTCTATAAATGTATAAACTTTTCAACTCCCCTATCGGTAAGTCATTAAGATTATTTCTAATTTTCTAATGGGATAAACAGCACTGCACCAACATCATCACACCCTTGACTAAGGATAAATGCCTGAAGTGAAACTGCTAAGTCAAACACAGATGACAGTCTACAGCTTTATATTTTGCCAAATTGCCTTTTAAGAAAGTTGTATCACCTCTGATGAAATCTTGAGTACTTTCTGTTTGCCAATTGACAGGTAAAAAATGTTATTTTGTTTTAGTCTCATTCTACCGATTACTAGTAAATTTGAACATTTTTCCATAGGAAGCATGAAATAAGTGTTAGCTATTTACGTTTATTGGCCCAGTCATATTTCTTCTTCTCTGAACTACCTATTCACGGTCTTTGGCTATTTTTCTATTAGCTTGATAGTCTTTTTCTTAATGACTATAATTGCTCTTTATGCAGGCTACTAAGCCTCTGATATATATGCTGTCAATACTTTCCCCAAGTTGAATTTACTTTTGCGTTTAAGATGGTCTTTGTCATACTGAACTATATTCCAGCCAAAACAATTTTTTCCTTTATATTGTTAGTCTTCCTTAGCCTAAGATTAAATGTTCTTTTGGTAGTTTTTACATTTATGTAATTAATCTGACACTTGTGTTTGTTTGCAACGAGGTACACAATTTCCCCTAAATAGTCAGTTGGTTCAACAGCCCACTATTGCCCTACTAATACAAAATGCGACTTTCATCATAAATTCATACACGCAGATACACACACACTTCCCTAACTTTCTATTCTATACCTTCTTCAGTGTCTAATAGCAATTTTAATGTGATGTGCACATGGTCTCACCAAATTAATGATGGTTTCAGATTTTCTTTGCAACAGTTGTGTATTTATTCTTGTAGCTGAACAAGTTCAAAAATACCCCTACTAGAATTTTGATCAAGATCATTTGAAATTTACAGATTAATTTAGAGAAAATTCAACTTTATGATAAAATCTTCCCATCTGGGAAGGAAAGTACTCACTTATACTTTTCAGGAAAATCAATAGGGTCTTTATGTAGTTTGTGCATATTTCTTGTAATTCCTTGAAATGCTATACGTTGGTGCTACTATGATTTGGATCTCAAACCATTATATTTTCTAACTGATTTATGCTAACATATGGAAAATCTATGGATTTCTATATATTTATTTTTACTCAACCACCTTGTCAAGCACACTTGCTTACATGAGGGTTCCTAGGTATTCCCAAGAGGATACTAGTTAAAAACAAATCCCTAGACTCCACCTGAACAGAAAGTTTAAGAGTGTTGGAGAAAGAGGGCAATGAGGTATCATCATTACTGTATTTTTGACAAATTTTCCAGATGATTTTGATGCTCATCCACATTTAGGAACCAGTAGGTCAGACCACCAAATCAAGAGCTCAAGCAGACTAATAGTCACAACGTACCAGAAGTTTCAGATGACTTCTCACATTAAAAACTCCACAAGCTGCCACTGAAATAACCCCACTGGAGATAAGGTCAGTAAATCACAGAAGCTACAAGAATGTACCAAAGACTTAGTTACATTCAAGGAGAGATCACAAGAAATACCAGCCATCAAGAAGATTTCATAAAACATTATATATACATAAAATAGCCACTTCAGCTCTACCCTCTGAAATTCCTACAAAGTATGGAAAGCATCTTAAAACAAACTTGTTCTTTGATCTGATGAGACCAAAAATAACCTCTTGGGGTCCATAAAATATCCTATTAACATCCTCCTCTAGGGGCTGGCCCGGTGGCACAGCAGATAAGTTCGCACATTCTACTCCAGCGGCCCGAGGTTCGCCAGTTTGCATCCCGAATGCAGACCTACGCACAGTTTGTCAAGCCATGCTGTGGCAGGCATCCCACATGTAAAGTAGAGGAAGATGAGCAGGGATGTTAGCTCAGGGCCAGTCTTCCTCAGGAAAAAGAGGAGGACTGGCAGCAGATGTTAGGTCAGGGCTAATCTTTCTCAAAAAAAAAAAGCTCCTCGGTAGAATAAGAAGTATAATGACTATCAGCATTATTCCATAAAAACAGAATAGATACACAGTAGCTCCCCCCTTATCCACAGCTTCGCTTTCCGCAGTTTCAGTTACTCATGGTCAGTCACGGTCCAAAAATATTAAGTGGAAAATTCCAGAAATAAACAATTCATAAGTTTTAAATTCCAGGCCATTGTGAGTAGCGTGATGAAAGCTTGCACCATCCCGCTCCATCCCATCCAGGACATGAATCTTCCCTTTGTCCAGTGGATCCATGCTCTATACCCTACCTGCCCATTAGTCACTTAGTAGCATTTTGCTTATTGTGGTATCACAACGCTTGTGTTCAAGTAACCCTTAGAAATGCCACAAAGCATAGAGTAGTGATGCTAGCAATTTGGATATGCCAAGGAGAAGGCGTAAAGTGCTTCCTTTAAGTGAAAAGGTGAAAGTTCTCAACTTAAACAAGAAAAAAATTGCATGCTGAGGTTGCTAAGATCTATAATGGGAACGAATTTTCTATCCATGAAATTGCGAAGAAGAAGAAGAAATTCATGCTAGTTTTGCTGCTGCACCACAAACTGCAAAAGTTATGGCCATAGTGCGAGATAAGAGCTTAGTATGGGAAAAAACATAGTATTTATAGGGTTCAGTACTATCCATGGTTTCAGGCATCCACTGGGGGTCTTGGAACACATTCCCCTCAGATAAGGGGGAACTACTGTACTAATGTGAAAACTATTAACTGCTACTATTTTGATTTAAGGTGGCAAACTGAACCACAAATCAACCTTAAGATATCTCAACATACTTTACTAATATGTGAATCTAAGCCACAACATTCCACCAATTCCACTGAAAATTACCAAGAAACAAAATAAATATAAAGCATTTTGAAAGGTTATGTATCCGGAAAACAAGATCTCTTCCACTCTTATTCCTTGAGACCTGGATGGTGAAGATCAGATGAACGGAGCTGTGCTGCAGCAGCAGGGCACCAAATGCTTGTCGGGCCTTTAAAGTCATTTCACACAAAAGCAATGATAATTTATAGGACAACGTACATCGTGACAGGTTGTATTTCTTGCTCTCAGGCAGCTCTTGAATACATCTATGCAGTTCTTTACAGTGTTTCACATGTATCACTTGATCCCACAAGAACCCCATAAAATGGGGTTTTCATTTCGTAACTGAAGCAACAATAGAGGCTCCAAGAAGTTAAACTTATCTAAAATCACCCAGCTTTAAAGGAGTAGAGATGGAATTCAAACCTTTTTTCATACTTTTACCATAGTATTGTTTTCTACAATAGCACGCTAACTTAGAATTTGTATATTTTCATTTTCAGCACATATTGTCATTTATTTCACCTTCTTCCCACATTGTTACAAATTAGACAAAAACAGAAAGCATCCACTATATTTCACATCCAACAGAAGGAGTTCAATTAAAACGAAATATGTGAAATCACTTTGAAAGTATAAAATACAAATGCAATGTGCAATTAAAAATAAGTGAATTACCAATTTTCTGTCAGTACTAAAGTCAAGATTATTATTCACAGGGCTTTTTCAAACAGATTACAAAGAGCTCTTTCCAGCTGTCCCGCAGAAGAATAACATGAATTCTTTATTCCAAAGGAAAGAAAAGCAAGGAGAGAAGTATTTCATATATGCCCATCTGGGTAACAGAATTCAGAAATCAGGTACATCTGTCTCCCACTCAGCCATCAGAAACAGGCCTAACACATTTACATCCACAGCTACTACTAGAACAATGCTCAGAAAGACAGATGGTCAAAAGCTAAGAGGAGGAGGAGAATTAGCAAAGAAGCTACAAAAGAAGGTGCCATTAGTTCACCCAGAAGAAAGACCAACAAGGGAAGCAGACCTACAGTCAACTGCCCATGACCCCACTAACCACAGAGCCCAGATGAGCAGGCAGCAGCCCCACAGGGCAAACAGACAGCAGCGCAGAACCAAAGAAAAGGAACTATGAGAGACAATAACTGGACAGGCTCAGGCTGTTCGAATCACTGCAATCATGTACAAATAACAAACAAAAGATGGTTTTTAAATGATTACTGTTACCAAGAGAGCTAATTAAATATAAACATACTGTTTAATTAACATAATGGTTACAACTGTCACACGTAAGATTACAGAAAGGAAACATTACTCCTTATAGTGTCTGGGTATCCTTGATATATATATAGCTAGAAGTATGGGGAAAGAGTCCTTTAAAGATTTTAAGACAACTGAGAAGACAAAGAATATTCTAGCCCATTAAGAACGAAAATAATAACCCACAACTAAAATATACAACTATGTACTGGGGGGATTTGGGGAGAAAAAGGAAAAATAAAATCTATTTAAAAGAAAAAAAATGAATGAAAATAAAGCTTTTTTCTCACTAGAAAGTTCAAAGTGCAATTACCTGAGAGACTGCGCCACTATGTTTTCACATATTGTCAGACAATGATTCACACGGTCTTTCTTGGTGGCTGAGAGTTCTTTCTTTCTAAAAGAAAAAAGAAAGCAGGAAAGGAAGTGAACATGTGTTGAATTATCCACCCCATTTATTTCTGCATATCATTCATTCATTCAACAAGCACTTCTTGACTACTAGGAATAAACCATATACTCCATGCTAGGGGGCAGGGTAGGGGATCAGGTCAGGGAGGTGGAGATGAGCTCAACCCAGGGTTTCCTAAACCACACTGCTCCATAGAAAAGATATGTGATGCTACTAATGCACTTAATTTTTCCCATTTGAGGGAGAAGGAGAAATTACATTGCAGTGACTCACCCAAGATCACACAATGGAGGGATGCGCAATTCAATGAAATACATAATGTAATATACACTCTACACACCAAGCGGCCTCCACTGCTCAAAATCGCATTGTTAATTGACTGCAGTCAGCATACCACACAGACCTCATGCTGTCGATTTGGTATAAAATAAGGTATACACTACGACTTATCACTCCTATACCCCCAAATAGCTACAAAAAAGCCTCCTGCTCAAAGCCTTTCTCCAAAGCCTCCTATTAAGACTTCTCAGCCAAACAAAAGGAGATAAATAGCCTGATCAGGAAGATCAGATTAAAGATGCTTGCTTCCCATCCAAACCTACAGCTTCATAGGTCTTCAAGGTAGGTACATTGAAATAAGGTAGAGAGGGATGATCCAAAGAGGAAGGCAAAAAATAAAGCAGGCTTAAGAACTACATCCAAAAAAGAACTTGACTGTGGTTGTTACCAGCACATGGTACTAACTAGAAACAACTAAACTACAAGACTACCAACTTTTTGAGAGAATTCTGTTACCAAAGAAATTTAAAAAAAAAAAATCTAACCTACAAACACCTGTGACTATTTAATCCCTAATGCACCCCACCCAACACCCCACCCCAGCCCCAGACCCCAGCTCCAAATCGTGCACCTGAAGGAACAGGCTATCACAACTGTGCAAATCCAGTGAAGACATACCCTCAAAAGAGACCTCAGACATGGCCAGGGCAGAAAACTGGCAAGGAAAAACCTCCAAAGGGAGAAGTCAGTGGCCGAAAAGAGGAACAGACAGGGTACCCAAGCAGAGAAAAGAAGCAGGGCCTGAATGAGAGGCCTAGTCCATGGCAAGTGGAGAGGGGCTTCCCAATGACGGCCCAGTAAGAGTCCGTCATTCTGTGGGCTGGTGAGTGTGAGCCCAACGCCCAGTCTCTTAATGGGACTTTCACTGACAAGTTATACTGCAGACTGCTGATCATCCACAAAAATGACATTCTTCCCCTCCTGGACACATGCCTCCTGCTTAGAAGTTCCATTGCCCAGCCTCCCTGCACCCAGGGATAGACGCATGACTTAGTTCTCACAGATGAAATGGGAACAGAAGTGGAATATGGAGTGTCTACCTTGCTGGCTTGCCCTGGGTATCTCGCCCGTTAGTTCCCTCCAATTGGAACAAACTTGTCTAACACCCAGTTTTTGATGACACAGATAAAGACAACAAGAAGGCTACAGAGCCACAGGATGGAATGAGCCTGAGTTCTAAGTGACCACAAGAAGCAGAGATCCCCTACTCCCATCCTCATGAGCCACCCACTTCAAAAGCATGATGACTGAAACAACCCAAATGTCCTTCACCTGGTGAATGGATAAACAAACTGCTATAGCCAGACAACGGAATACTGCTTAGCAGTAAAAAAGGGCAATCCACTAAAACACACGAGGGTGAATCTCAGTGTACCAGGTTCAAGACTACACATTAGATGATTCCATTTATATAATATTCTGGAAGAGACAAAACTACAGGAATGGAAAGTGATCAGTAATTTCCAGTGGCCAGGGAGGAGGAGTTGGACAGCAAAAAGGCATGGGGCATGGGGAAGTTTTAGGGGGTTGTAGAACTGTTCTAAATCTTGATTGTCGTAGTAGTTACATGCCTCTATCCATTTGTCAAAACTCAGAGAATTATGCACTAAAAGGGGTACATTTTTGAGGCCAGCCCTGTGGCCTAGTAGTTAAGTTTGGTGTGCTCCACTTTGGCAGCCCAGGTTTGGTTCCCAGGTGCAGACCTACACTAACCGTCAGCAGCCATACTGTGGCAGCAACCCATGTGCAAAACAGAGGAAGACTTGCACAGATGTTAGCTCAGGGTAAATCTTCCTTAGCAAAAAAGAAAAAAAAGGGTACATTTTACTATATGTAAATTATACCTCGGTCTTAAAAAGAATGTGCTATGAGAATTAAAGTGCTCTCTTCTTCCAAGTATCATATTAAAGTCTCTGTTAAAGTAGCTTAGAGTTTACCCAGTTTAAGACAGCCATGAAGAAAATTAAAGAACACCGATCATTTTAAGCATTTTAGGAGGCAAACTAACTCACCTATCCATTATTCTTTGACTTCCAAAGTGAAAAACCTTCCCAAGGCCTTAAATGAACTGAAATCACACACCAGTCTCCTAGCTATATAGGGAGTGGTCCCTCAATGTGACAGTGTCTTACACTGGGTCTAAAATGATTCTTCAGGGGAGTGGTAATGAGAAAAAAATTGACAAATGCTAAACTAAATGCACCTCACAATTTAATGGTGGTCAGAATAGAAATAAATACTCAGGACCAGAGATTTCCAGCAAAGTCAGAATCTAAACAAAACCTTCATCCTGTGGAGTCTCCGCTGCCAAGCCTGAGAGGTAGTGAGTGTGCGATTCATGGCAAGCCCCTTGCTCTGAGTGGGCCCTTTCCCAACCGTAACTGAACGGCTCACTGAAGTAGCAGCGGTAGCCAGGTATCTTTGGATGGGCCAACTCAGATCAGTGGCCATGGCTGCCCAGAGCATAGCCTGGAGAATACCGGGGCCTCATCTGTACTGAATAAGAAAGACCACAGTGGTGAATGGCTCAGCTGTCATAGACTGGGGGAGACGAGTCCCAGGGTCCCCCCAGGTGCAACATTACAAGCACTTATGAAGCAGAAAGTATTCCCTGGACTTGACAAGAGAACTCTGTGTACTGACAAAAGCAGCAGGTCAATACGCCAACTACATCTTTGGTTAAAATTACAATGTAGGGTGTCACTGTGCATCTCTCTCAGTAGAGCCACTAGGGTACCCAAAGAGAGTAAAGAGTCAACACACTACTTACTCACATGCCTGATGGAACATTTATCTATCCTCTTAGAAGTGACAGATACAAACAGGAGTTTTAAAAAGAACTTTGTCTCTCTCCTCATAAATGGGATGAACCAAAAGAACATAGTTAGCAATGAAAAATACCCGCCACATGATTTATTAAGACCTACTTGTGCTGTTCCCCATGCCAGAACTTGAGCAAAAGTTTATCAAACGAGGATTGTCAAAGACAGAATATTGATCTCAACCCAACAAAATAAAAATACATGTTTCTGTGGTCTGTTTCAGTCTAGCTCCTCCTCTGAGCTCCTGGTGGGGAAAGCCTGTCTTAGTCACCAGGGCCCCTTCCCAAGGCCCTGCCAGCAGCACTTCCATCGCACTTAGGGAACAGCTGTTCCTCCGATGATCTCCCCAGGGAGACAGACTAAGAGCAAGGGCCGTATCATATCTCTATTACTAACACTCAGCACAACACCTACACTTTACAGGTGCTTCATAGACTGCAAATAAAGGAAAGGATAAATAAATGTTTTCTGTAGGAGAATAGGTCAAATACACATTAAAACTGACTCAAAAGTTCTTGAGTCAGTCTCATAAATAGGATTCAGAAGATAAACGAAAATTACTTTAAACCTAAGTTTCTAGGACCAAGAGATGAAAGAAAAGTAGAAACAACAAAGCTTAAAAAAGAAAATTGTGGAGGGCTGGCCCGGTGGCATCATGGTTGGGTTTGCACGCTCCACTTCAGTGGCCCATGGTTCTTGGGTCTGAATCCCAGGCACAGGCCTACACCACTCATCAAGCAATGCTGTGGTGGCAACCCACATACAAAATAAAGGAAAACTGGTACAGATGTTAGCTCAGGGACAATCTTCCTCAAGCAAAAAGAGGAAGACTGGCAACAGATGTTAGCTCAGGGCCAATCCTACTCACCAAAAAAGAAAGAAAGAAAGAAAATTGTGGAGAAATCCCAACATACTTGAACTCAAACACTTTGCGGACCGACAGGCCTAGCCTGTGGAATCCCTCCAGCTGTAATCAAGACAATCAATCACAGGTCTTTTAACAACACCTTCGACGAGTCTTACTCTCAAGACTTTACTATCAAAAAGAGGATAGTAGGGGCTGGCCCCGTGACCGAGTGGTTAAGTTCGTGCGCTCCGCTGCAGGCGGCCCAGTGTTTCGTTGGTTCGAATCCTGGGCACGGACACGGCACTGCTCATCAAACCACGCTGAGGCAGCGTCCCACATACCACAACTAGAAGGACCCACAACGAAGAATATACAACTATGCACCGGGGGGGGGATTTGGGGAAAAAAAATAAAATCTTCAAAAAAAAAAAAAAAAAGAGGATAGTATACTTTCTATCATGGTCAGCTAAGAAGAAAGCAATATTTTAAGTTTCTCTTCTTACCTCATCCACAATCATTTTCCAGCAATCCAAATCCTTTTTAGGAAAAAACAAATCTGGCAAAATATATCTAAATTTTAAAGTCACATGTAAAAGAATGAAAATTGACCATTCTTTTTCACCATTCACCAAAATAAACTCAAAATGGATCAAAGACCTAAAGGTGAGACCTGAAACCATAACGCTTCTGGAAGAAAACGTAGGCAGTACACTCTTTGACATCAGTATTAAAAGGATCTTTTCGGACACCACGTCTTCTCAGACAAGGGAAACAATAGAAAGAATAAACAAATGGGACTTCATCAGACTAAAGAGCTTCTTCAAGGCAAGGGAAAACAGGATTGAAACAAAAAAACAACCCACTAACTGGGAAAAAATATTTGCAAGTCACATATCTGACAAAGGCTTAATATCCATAATATATAAAGAACTCTCACAACTCAACAACAAAAAATCAAACAACCCAATCAAAAAATG